CGAAATGGACGAATTTTTCCAAGATTCTGGCAGTGGTGGCCATTGTATTTGTCCTGGTTAACCAGTGCACTACAATCTGTGCGGCGGTGAGGCAAATACGCAAAGACATCAGCCGCATCGTTTTCACGTCGGTGGTGTTTGCCATCGGCGTATTTTTTGCGGTAAGTGGCACGTGGGTTAAATAGGAATGTCTTCTCCTAGGGTTGGGAGGAACACCAGTGGGGGGAGACGTCCGGCCAAGGATAGGTTCTTGGCTAGAACAGAACGAGAGACATCCTTGAGGAAAACGTTTCAGTGAGACGTACTTTGGAGTATTATGCTGGTGGGATGGCACTTGACTTACGAAGAGCAGTTAGGAGTAGACTGGAACGACAGGATGATGCCAGATATGTCGAAGGGGCTTAATGAAAGATGAACGTATTAAGTACATCGATAAGGCAAAAGGAGAAGAAGAATCATTAGCTCAGTTGGTAGAAACAGCACTTCAGGAGGACAATGGTATTCGCCATCAGGAAGTGTAAAGAGGGACTTCACGGGGTCCCAGGGACCTCAAATTAAAAGGAAAATAAACCTTGCAACTGACTCTCGGTGTTATCGTTGCCAAGGCCAAGGACACGTGCGAAGAACTGTAGCAATGTTCCGCAATGTGGAAAAAAGTTACCTTAACACCGAATAATTGCACGAAACCAATGAAATCAGAAAATCACGTAGTCAAGCAAATGCCTAGACACGTTGATGTGATATTAGGACAAGATTGGCTTTTGGAAAATGATTACAAGTCAACAAAAAGCATCATAGTACCTCCGTATAGCGAGACATTAGTTCAATTTCCCACGAGGGAAAAAGGTGTTAGGTACATTGAACAACAATTATTGCAACCAGCTTTAATACGAGCCGCTAGTTCAACAGCACCGGCACTGAAGAAACCTCCGACCCAAATGATTAAAGTAGAGGACGCACAGACACGCTCATTCACGCCAAAAAGAATACAGCTGTTGCATGAAAATTTGAGATTGCAACAGATTACAGAAGGAGCTTCCGTCTTATTGTTAGGATTGGAATGTCTCTTGCGTCCATAACAACAGCCATAATTGGCTCAGTCATACACCTGATGTAGTTGCACGCCAATGCAGGGAACAACACGACAACTTCTTCCCCGGTAGATCGAGTCTTGAGCCATTCAGGGCTCAAGAGTGCGACGACTAAGCCCACTTGACTTACGAAGAGCAGTTAGGAGTAGACTGGAACGACGGGATGATGCCAGATATGTCGAAGGGGCTTAATGAAAGATGAACGTATTAAGTACATCGATAAGGCAAAAGGAGAAGAAGAATCATTAGCTCAGTTGGTAGAAACAGCACTTCAGGAGGACAATGGTATTCGCCATCAGGAAGTGTAAAGAGGGACTTCACGGGGTCCCAGGGACCTCAAATTAAAAGGAAAATAAACCTTGCAACTGACTCTCGGTGTTATCGTTGCCAAGGCCAAGGACACGTGCGAAGAACTGTAGCAATGTTCCGCAATGTGGAAAAAAGTTACCTTAACACCGAATAATTGCACGAAACCAATGAAATCAGAAAATCACGTAGTCAAGCAAATGCCTAGACACGTTGATGTGATATTAGGACAAGATTGGCTTTTGGAAAATGATTACAAGTCAACAAAAAGCATCGTAGTACCTCCGTATAGCGAGACATTAGTTCAATTTCCCACGAGGGAAAAAGGTGTTAGGTACATTGAACAACAATTATTGCAACCAGCTTTAATACGAGCCGCTAGTTCAACAGCACCGGCACTGAAGAAACCTCCGACCCAAATGATTAAAGTAGAGGACGCACAGACACGCTCATTCACGCCAAAAAGAATACAGCTGTTGCATGAAAATTTGAGATTGCAACAGATTACAGAAGGAGCTTCCGTCTTATTGTTAGGATTGGAATGTCTCTTGCGTCCATAACAACAGCCATAATTGGCTCAGTCATACACCTGATGTAGTTGCACGCCAATGCAGGGAACAACACGACAACTTCTTCCCCGGTAGATCGAGTCTTGAGCGATTCAGGGCTCAAGAGTGCGACGACTAAGCCACGGCAGGTATCGCTTACGAAACGTAATCAGACTCGCCTTTGCTTTCACGCTTCTACATTTACCTCAGTCGCCACGAGTGCTGATGCTTCCAGTGGCCTTGTCCCAGGGTAAACATTGAAACGGTCCGACTTTGGGTGAAGATTCTTATATAGACAGTTGGCATTGCTGCCAACATAATTGGCACATGCCTCCACTGGATCGAGTCAACGCCCGATTCTGTGAGCCCGACTTGTTCCCCGATAGATCGAGTCTTGAGCCATTCAGGGCTCAAGAGTGCGACGACTAAGCCGAGGCCTTTTTATGCACTTCGAGAACTCGTATCGGGGGTGGACGCACTCGGAACGTTCGCAAGTGCGGCGAAACAGTTGCCATTCGCTTTCAGAATAAAAATCTGTTGCCCACAGAATGGGCCAGATACCGGAGGAAGACGCAGGACACGATAAAGGATACGCCGAACGCATGTCAATTATTTGTCCAGACGTAACCACGTACGGGTTGGGCAAAGTTGCACTCCTGAAACCTCGTTCAGGGTACGGACATCAAGTTTTACTTCAGGCACATTCCACCCGAGAAGTAAATCGCAATAAAGTAAAACAGGATAACATTAAGGTAGATACAACGATCAACACAATTACAACACTGTAACTGTCCAAATTACATCTTCTGCTGAGGTAATTTGATCAAACTATTTAGTTTATTATTATTTAATTAACCTGAATTTTATTCAACTTTTTCTGGTGGCAACCACCAAACTCTTCAGGACAAGGACGTGCGAGGACCTTCGGTTCCCAGGAGTCTTCTTTTTTACACTAAGCGGCAAAATCGGTTGAACTCTCATGGTTCACACTTTGATATTTATGGCTGCAATATGTCGAAAGTCAGTTTAGACTTTATGGTTCAATGTTGCTGGACCATACGCATTAAACAGCGTGAGAGAGAGAGAGATAGACTTTGAAAGAGCTGAATGCAAGTAAATACGTCGCTGGTTTGGAATGTTTCGAACCAGGGGGCAAGACGCTTACAACAGCTCGTCAGTAAACCCTTCGACGCAGTCTCAAGCAAATACACTGTGAGTCTGAGATCATCTGCATTGTTCTTAAATAAATAAATAGTGTGAAAAGAAAAGATTATATTCAGCAATAAAGGAAGCTTCTAGTTGTCGGGAGTTACACGCCGTTAACGCCCCTCAGAAGATTCAAGTGCCTACCAAGGAGCGACGATAACACATTCCGTACCTCAGGCCAACTGGCTGGGACATCGAAGGCCAGGTTGAAGGAAAGCGAGGACTGGGAAGAAGATGAAGTTCCAGGAGTTAAAACGAGAAGCTGAGAATAGGGAAAACTGGGGAGCTCTTTTTGGGCAGAGCAATGGACCTCAGTGGCCTTCAGCCGAAAAGGCCCCTCCCTCTGTGGGTCCAAACCTCAGAGAACCAAATTCTTACGACAAGTTGGAGGGACGATGCTTGCGCCTGCTTTTAGGGTTGGTTGGCCTGGCTCCCTCTGAGTGCTGTTCAGCGCACAGTGTCTATGAAGGAGTCTTGTGCGGTGTTCATGGTGAGTAAAATCTGATAAGTTTGCGTTCTGAGGTTTCATCACCGTGGCAGGTAAGTGTGAAGAATATTTTATTACATCTGAGGAATATCTGTTGCCGGATTAGGACAAAACACTCTGCCATAAAAATCCTGCAAAGTCGCCTTTAAAGCGTTTAAACGTCCAGTTTGAGCACAACTTCCATTCACTCGCGTAACTTTAAATCAACATTTAATTTCAGACGTGGCAGGTATCGCTTTGTTGTAATCAGACTCGCCTCTGTTTTGTTCCGGGGGCTACGTGTGGACGTGTTGGAACATAAATACGTTCAGCCATTGGGCGGACTGCGCAATGTAAAATGTTACAATTGCTGCACGGAGGCCTTGCTATCATGGACGAGGTTCGGGGCCTAACTTAGTTCCTCGTTTACGTGGTATTATTCAAGCCCCAACTTTTCGATCGGCTATGCCATGAAGCAGACAACTGCCCTGGGGACGGACCAAACACATCGGGGGCTTGACCAACGTGTTCAATGGCCTGGTACCACCTAAAGTCGCGGACTGCCACGAGCGGAATGTGGTAGCCATTTTGGTCAGACCACTCAGACCTCCGTTGGCCTTGAAGGCACTTACAGATGGTTACGCTAAACAAAGGTTCATCGCTAGATACAAGCCGTAACAGCTACTACGGAGTCCTCAGACACAGTTCCGGACGAGATGCGCTTTGTATCAGGAATCCATACGACGAAGGAAAGGAACAGACGAATTATGTCGGCCCACTTTTTGGGATTTTCAGTGATGGCGACGCGCTAATACGAGTTACATCTTACAGACGCCAACTCAGGCCACGCCCCTAATGTAAGCTCCATTACGGAAGCCTTCATCTTCCTCAACAAGTTGGAAGTCAAGGAAGACGGGACAAGAACTTCCACAGCGGTAGAGAGTTTTGTCGTAAGAACAAAAGCAGAGGCAACTGATGGAGTAAACGCCGCAGGAAGAACGGCCTTGAGTTTTCTTGAGCGCTGCAAAGAAAAGGGAAACGAGTTTCTTGAGAGAATTGTGACTGCGGACGAAACAATGGACGCACACTCAATCACCGAAGAAGCCCAAGAAATTCAAACAAACATAGGAATTCAGCTTACAGAATTCATGGAAGACAATAACATCACAGGTTTATTGCGAAACGTTCATAAAGCTTGGGAGATCAGTCCAGAATAAACGAAGGGGACGACAATGCGCGGCACCACAGTTCAAGTGGGAGATTTTCGACCATCCCCCTTACAGCCCTGGCTTGGCCCAGAGTCAGACGCAAAAGTCATCGATCAGGATACGCAGTTGCAGATCTCGATCGCAGGGATTGAAATGTTTGCACTTTCTCGTTGCATCAGCCATGCCTGAAGTGGAAGAAATTTGGAAAGATTCAGGCAGTGGTGGCCATTTTCTTTGGCCTCGTGAACCAGGGAACGGCCATCTATGCGGCTAAGAAAACTGGCCGCACAACCACCGCCGGATTCATTCCAATGGCATTGTCTTTTGTCATCGCCTTCTTTTTCGCGGTAAGTGTTCCGTGCCCCAGTGTTGTCGGGCTTACGTCTGTGGGCACTGCCTTGGGTGCTGGCACCACTGGGTTTCCTTTTTGTGCAGCGTAGAGGTGTTCCGTCTTATTGTTAGGATTGGAATGTCTGTTGGTGTCATTGTAACAGCCATAATTGGATCATGCATACACCTCCTGATGGAGTCACACGCCAATGCAGGGAACACCACAACAACTTGTTCCCCGGTAAGACCGAGTCTTGAGCGATTCAGGGCTCAAGAGTGCGCCGACTAAGCCACGTCTTCACCGCCGTCAGAACCTCAAATGTCGCCAATAGTATTCCATGGTAAATAGAAAAGAAGATAGAGGAAGTGATGGGAGACGACCAATTTGGACTCAGGAGGAACCAGAGATGCCATCGGAGTTATGAGAATAATTTCAGAGAGAGTTCTCGATGTCAAGGAAGAAGGCTTTCGATCGAGT